GACCATTCCCTGGCAAACCCCAATTCCAGCAGGATTTCAGACCATTCATTCCCTGGCAAACCCCAATTCCAGCAGGATTTCAGACCATTTAATGGCAAACCCCAATTCCAGCAGGATTTCAGACCATTCCCTGGCAAACCCCAATTCCAGCAGGATTTCAGCCAATTCCCTGCAAGCCACAAAATTCCTCCTTTTATCCTTTTTCCTGCTCCACCTCTGGAATTGTGTGTTCCTGCTTCCCATGGGATGATCCCTGCTGCTTCCTCCCCCCCCCTGCCTCACTCCAGCCCAATTTAATCACGGATTTACGGCCCGGATTTCTCTTTTCCCTCCTCGTCAACAGCCACAGCTGAGGGGGGTGAAAAGGGCATCCCAAGGGAATCCAGGGCTTTCCCAGGCCTTTTTCCTGCTGCAGGGCCAGGGATCACTTACTGCCAGCTGGAAGAGCAGGCGGCAGTGCCAGTAGGGAGTCTGCTGGGAGATCTGGATGGCTTTTCGCAGCAGGGGCTTCGCCGTATCCACGGAATTCTGCAACACAAAGCAGGGACACTGGGAATCCAACCCCTCCCAAGGGGCTGCAGAGCAGTTCTGCAGAGGGCTGGGTGGGGAAGGTGAGGAATTGGAATGAAGGGAAAGCAACAGAACCAAGAGGGGAGAGGCTGGAAGAGGATTCCCGGAGAAGCTGCGGCTGCCCCATCCCTGGGAGTGTCCAAGGCCAGGCTGGAACAACCTGGGACAGTGGGATGTGTCCCTGCCCGTGGAGGGGCTTTAATGCCCTTCCAGCCCAACCCCATTCCATGATTCCAACCCCTTGAGGAAAACCCTCTGCTCCCCTCCCACCCCCAAAATCAACCTTTGCCAAAGCGAGGCCTCACTTTGGCCAAGGAAAACTCCCTTTGGAAAACCCACGGTGCAATTCCAGCAGCAGCTTCCAGAATAAAAAAAAACCAACCAAACAAAAAAAAGACAAAAATCCCTTCATGCCTTTTTTTTTTTTCTTTTTTTTAACTACTCTGTATTTACACCCCGACCCTAAAAATCCCATAAAATCGCCCTGTTAATTGGAATTAACTGCTCCAGGGGCTGGAAAGGCAGCTCCTGGTGGGGCCACTCACCTCCTGGCAGTACAGCTCCGACAGCAAACTGGCTGCCTCGAACTTCACATCTTCAAACTGGGGGATCTGGCACCAGAGTTAAGGAATAACGGACACAGGGTGGAAAACAGCACCAGCCTGGCCCCCAAAAACTCTGAACCCCTCAGGAAAGCTGGGATTAGATGGGCCTTAAAGTCCCTTCCAAGCCAAATCATCCTGGGGTTCAATGAAAGAGGCCCCCAGTGATGAAAGAGTTTAAAAATAGATTTAAAATAGGTTAAAAGCACCAGTTAAACCCCCACCCCAGGCCCTTGGAAGTGCTTAAGGAGTTTCCATGGAGGTGTTTTGTGCTCAGCACCTGTAAAGGACAATCAACTCTCTCTTCAAACACCTCAAGGCTCTTTGGGAGGGAATTCCTCAGCTCTTCCCAGTGATCCACCCGCTCCCTGGACCTGCTCCCACCCAACCCAGCAGGAGCAGGCAGGAGAAGCAGCAGTGCTGGGCCAGGAAAAGGATACCTGCTGGGATATCAGCCACTGCAAGGGAACACAGGGGGTTAGTCTGGGACCAGCACCCACCGGGACCCCTCCCTCACCCCCTCCATCCCACTCACCGCCTTCTCCAGGTGCTGGGACACCCCCATCGCCTCCCTCCCCTATTCCAGGGCTCCCCCGTGCCCCCCAAACCCCGCTCACCGCCTTCTCCAGGTGCCCTCGGGCCTGGTCGCCGTTGCGGGTGTGGTGGTAGAGGACGGAGCCGAGCTGGAGGTGCGTGCGGGCCTCCATTCTGGCGGGGGGCTTGCGGGGCAGCACAGCCTGCAGGCAGTGCACGCAGAGCCGCACCTTGGGCGGGCTGGACGTGCGGAAGTGCTCGGCCAGGCCCAGCAGCGCCAGGT